CTGAGTTGACCACTACAGCTGGCCCTTCTTTTAGCAGCACAGTCGCCCCCGAAACTACAGCAGGCCTTTCTCTTAGCACAACAGTCATCCCCAGAACTACACCTAGCCTTTTTGTTAGCACCACCATCCCCCCCCTTAGCACCACAGTCACCCCCAGAACTACACCTGGCCTGTCTGTTAGCACCACAGTCACCCCCGAAACTACAGTTGGCCTTTTTCTTAGCACCACAGTCACCCCCAGAACTACACCTGGCCTGTCTGTTAGCACCACAGTCACCCCCGAAACTACAGTTGGCCTTTTTCTTAGCACCACAGTCACCCCCAGAACTACACCTGGCCTGTCTGTTAGCACCACAGTCACCCCCGAAACTACAGTTGGCCTTTTTCTTAGCACCACAGTCACCCCCAGAACTACACCTGGCCTGTCTGTTAGCACCACAGTCACCCCCGAAACTACAGTTGGCCTTTTTCTTAGCACCACAGTCACCCCCAGAACTACACCTGGCCTGTCTGTTAGCACCACAGTCACCCCCGAAACTACAGTTGGCCTTTTTCTTAGCACCACAGTCACCCCCAGAACTACACCTGGCCTGTCTGTTAGCACCACAGTCACCCCCGAAACTACAGTTGGCCTTTTTCTTAGCACCACAGTCACCCCCAGAACTACACCTGGCCTGTCTGTTAGCACCACAGTCACCCCCGAAACTACAGTTGGCCTTTTTCTTAGCACCACAGTCACCCCCAGAACTACACCTGGCCTGTCTGTTAGCACCACAGTCACCCCCGAAACTACAGTTGGCCTTTTTCTTAGCACCACAGTCACCCCCAGAACTACACCTGGCCTGTCTGTTAGCACCACAGTCACCCCCGAAACTACAGTTGGCCTTTTTCTTAGCACCACAGTCACCCCCAGAACTACACCTGGCCTGTCTGTTAGCACCACAGTCACCCCCGAAACTACAGTTGGCCTTTTTCTTAGCACCACAGTCACCCCCAGAACTACACCTGGCCTGTCTGTTAGCACCACAGTCACCCCCGAAACTACAGTTGGCCTTTTTCTTAGCACCACAGTCACCCCCAGAACTACACCTGGCCTGTCTGTTAGCACCACAGTCACCCCCGAAACTACAGTTGGCCTTTTTCTTAGCACCACAGTCACCCCCAGAACTACACCTGGCCTGTCTGTTAGCACCACAGTCACCCCCGAAACTACAGTTGGCCTTTTTCTTAGCACCACAGTCACCCCCAGAACTACACCTGGCCTGTCTGTTAGCACCACAGTCACCCCCGAAACTACAGTTGGCCTTTTTCTTAGCACCACAGTCACCCCCAGAACTACACCTGGCCTGTCTGTTAGCACCACAGTCACCCCCGAAACTACAGTTGGCCTTTTTCTTAGCACCACAGTCACCCCCAGAACTACACCTGGCCTGTCTGTTAGCACCACAGTCACCCCCGAAACTACAGTTGGCCTTTTTCTTAGCACCACAGTCACCCCCAGAACTACACCTGGCCTGTCTGTTAGCACCACAGTCACCCCCGAAACTACAGTTGGCCTTTTTCTTAGCACCACAGTCACCCCCAGAACTACACCTGGCCTGTCTGTTAGCACCACAGTCACCCCCGAAACTACAGTTGGCCTTTTTCTTAGCACCACAGTCACCCCCAGAACTACACCTGGCCTGTCTGTTAGCACCACAGTCACCCCCGAAACTACAGTTGGCCTTTTTCTTAGCACCACAGTCACCCCCAGAACTACACCTGGCCTGTCTGTTAGCACCACAGTCACCCCCGAAACTACAGTTGGCCTTTTTCTTAGCACCACAGTCACCCCCAGAACTACACCTGGCCTGTCTGTAATCTCAGTAGACAAATAAGCAGCATTAAACAGGAACTCCAAATCTAACAGTTAAAACTAGACAAACTGAGGTACATTCAAAGATAGTAACTCTTCTGTACACACTTGAACATTTTTATAAAGCAGCTGGTTGTAAAGATCACCATAAACAGAATAGCAGTCTGGCACTAGATTTTATGAAGAAAAAAAATGTATGGATTAATATAAAATAATCACATTAAATCCATTTTACCTTGGAAGGAAATAGCCCTGCTACCATGACCCATGTTTTACCTACTTGGAGGCTATATTTAGTGCCCAGCCCGTGAGGCCAGAGTAGTTTCTTGTATTGCCTCTAAAAATCACATGGATTGGCTTCACACAGCAAAATGCCAAAATATTACTTAAGTTAAATTATAAAATCGTAAAGAATCTCCAAACTTTAGACAACGAATAAAGGATAAGGCCTACCTCATGACAAGGAAGTGAGAGGAAAAACTGCTCCAGATATGGCCAAAAGCAGCTCCTACCAAACATATTAACAAACATTTTTAGACTACACTCCATAATCATACTAAATACTTTCAGAACAAGAGTTTACCTGCTATTGACCCACACCAAATGTCAACCAGTTTCAAACAAAAGGACTGCTTAGTAGGCCCCCCCGTCTTACAAAGGGGACAAACCTACAAAATAGAAATCCCTGTCATTGATCCCCTGCCATATACAGGCGATCTCTGTGGGGAACCACCCATCACAGTAACAAAGTTAAAGCTTTTTTTTTATAATAAAGTGCTGCTAAATAAATAGATATAACAGATTTTAAATAAATGAAATGGGCACAGGCTCCAGCTCTTTAGCAGGTGAAGGAATTAAGCATTGCAGTATTTTTAACTGCACCCTGAATTACAAACATTAGCTTATAAATAACATTATATTAGATCAAAAGGCTGTTTCACAAAAGCAGAATAAGGAAATACCGGATAATATAAAAAAGCGAGGCTTGACATAGTCATCTAGTGCATCCTGGCTTTATACATTTCACAAAGGCAAAGCCAGGTTGAAAAGATTTTTTTTCAGTGATCAAAGAAAAGTGATTGTGGTTCTTTTGAACCAGTTCATATCTACAGTTAACACAGATCCAATGATCTACCTTGAGGGTGAATCAGAAAAATGAAACTTGGGATAAAACACTTAGGTTGATTTTGTTATTTCCAAAATGGACAGACAGTCTGATTAGCTGCAGATTTCACAATAAAGTGATGTGGTGCTTTAGTAAAACAGTCAATATTGGTCTATATGTATCCTCAGTGATTCCTCCTCGCACCCTGATCCTCGCTCATCAGTGCAGAATTAAAATAAATGAGGGATCATATTGTGTAGTTACTAAGTAGTTCCTCATTACTTGATCATTTTCTGACCATTATTGCCTTTTGTGCCCCTTAAAGTAAAACGATACATCATCTTACTAAATGAATTTGTTTCAGAATCTGTTTATTTAATTCTGTGTATTATTTTGTATCTACTACACTCTTGTTGTATTTTTTTTTACAGGGGACATTGTGTACAATGTCACTGATGGCATGGGGTGGTGTTATATGGCATATTGCAATTCATCTTGTCAAATTGAGAAACACTCAGTTCCGTGTCCTACAACACCAATGCCGGGCACCACCACAGGATTCAACACCACTGGGACCACACTTTTAGAATTAGTTTCTCCCACCACAACTTCTTTTTCTACTTCCATTTCATCAACAACCCTGTCTACAACTACCATGGACTGTAATTCTGTATCTCCAACAAGAAAGGTATAATAATCATAATTGCATTTTCAAAAGATTTGAGCAGCTACTGGTGAAATATAATGCTTAAAGTCGAGGTACACACCTATGGGGACTTAAATGTAAGACTCGGCAGGCTCTGTTTTGGTATTGGTGCATGGTAATGCAGCTCCACATTCATATTTTCCCAGGGGACACAAGTTCTTTCAAAAGGCAAGAGAAGCTAGTTTGAAGGTGTGGCAATGCTAAATCAGTGGTGTACTGCTGTCTTGAGTATGTCTCACATGGTCCACGGTCCACCTGTCTGAAGCAAGTAGACAGCTCAGTGTACATTTTATTTGGTGAAGGTACACCCATGAACAAGCCTCTCTGAAATCATGCCTTTTATCCAGTTTTGCTTTCCACTTTCATTTTATACTGATTAACCAGCTGACTCGTGATCATACAGAAACATATGTGGGCTGTATATAATTTTTTTTCTCCCCTTGCCTGATGATGATTCCTTTAAATTTTTATTTATGTCTGGACATGTTGATGATCCAGCAGTCACCAAGTTTCCAGTACCTAAAAGTGCATTTTATTTGACATCACAATGATCCATATAGTGAGGGACTGATTGATTATATGATCATCACAGCCTCCAACATGCCCACCTATAAGTGTAAGATAATGTATTCTTTGTGGTTCCACCTTGTATCCAAGGAGACCACAGGTGTGCCAGGTCAGTCTGGCTACAGAATTACCAAAACTGTGTTTGGCACACTGCTAAAATTATGAAAATAGAGCCCTGCATCGTGAAAAATAAGTTGAAGTTATAGTTTTACTCACCCATGGTTTCCTATATGACTTAACTGTTTCTCTATCCCCATCCAGAATGGAGAGAACTGGAGGGTTGACAACTGTACCACTGCTACATGCACCAATGGCAATGTCAAAGAGACACCTGATCCTTGTCCCACAGTGGAACAACCCATCTGTGCTAATGGGCGTAAAGCTGTTCAGGTTAATGATAAAAACGGATGCTGTTTCCACTATGAATGTGAATGTAAGTTGAACATGTTCAATACAGCTTCCTACTGTTGACTTTTAAACACAGCAGAGAATCTTGTGTGTGTGTGTGCTAAGACTGTTGACAGTAATAGTACATTCTGGTGTTGTGTGTTTTTTGGGTGTCACACCTGTTGTTGGCAGCTGCATGATGTGATGATGTAAACGATTACAGAAGGTTGTAAAAGCCAATACCTTACAATCTTTAATCAAGCCAAGTCAGGTTTGAATGTAACTCCAGTGTAAGTCACAAGTCAAAAACAAATCTAGAAATCCACATGGTATGTGAAATGCCATTTCATTTTGTAGCATCTTTATGTGGTTGCCACTGCACAGTGCCTTCAATACATAGCAGCTGTTTGTGTCAAAAAGGCATATAAGAACATGAAAAAACTAAATGAATAGCATATTATCAGCAGTTAGGAGCAAAGGGTCACACTGTGGCACTAACTGGTTCAGATACAAAACAGACGCTACCTACTCTACACTAAATAACCTCTAAATCGCTTCAGTAGTAGCAGCTACTAAAGTGATTCTGAGTAGATACTAACTGCTAATAACCAAGCATAGCTTTCCTGGTGGAGGTAATCATGCTTTCTATCTGTTCCGGTTCCTACTTATTAATTATAATTTCCACGCATGGTTCTTATTCTGCAGGTGTGTGCAGTGGCTGGGGTGGATCCCACTACATGACATTTGATGGAACATCATACAGTTTCAACATGAAATGCTCTTACTACCTGGTTAAAGAGATTATTACCAAATATAACCTGGCTATTATAGTAAACAATCATGACTGTGATCCTTCAGACAGCACATTCTGTCCCCAGGATCTCACAGTTATATACGGATCCAATAAGATAGTTTTGACTCAGTTGAAGACTTCAAATGGAACAACTAATGTGGTAAGTAGCAACTGAATTATCAAAGATACTTGTTGTTTTAGAGTCAGTATGTCATTTATTTTGAGAGCACTGACCTAATGGTTAATCTTTTAAAGTAGTGATGATATATAATACAGATGGAGTTAGAAATGCAGCTGTTCACTGTCTTCTCCATTGTGTTTTGTCTCACTGTTCTACAGGTATATGTGAATGAGAAACGAATCTATCCAGCCTTCTGTGATTCTACCATGAGCATTACTAGCACAGACATGGTCATCACATTGGACATACTGGATAGTAACGTAAACGTGGTCTACAGGGGTGGCTCATTCAGCATCAGCCTTCCCTATTCCCTCTTTGGTGGAAAAACTGAGGGACAGTGTGGTGAGTTAACAGACCACTAGGATCTTAATCCTAGCCCTACATTTCAGTGCTAGCTACAACCAGATGGAACCCGAGAGAGCTGGCCATTGCATCTAATGTTTACAAAAAAATAAAAAAATCAAACAACGTACAACGAAACAAAAGAAACAAAGGAATATACAGTGTAGAGTTTAAATGCAAAACAAGTCTACGACATAATACTGCCATGAGAAACAGTGGATATTAAGATATTAAGTAAGAACATTTTTGTATTATAATTTCTTATGCTAAAATTATTTGATTTTTTTTCTTAACATAGCTGACTCTGTTACATTTCCACATATGGATATCTGTTTGGCTCCATGTGTGGGCAAGTTTCAGCTACAAAAATACTATTAAAGAGAAAAAAGACCTTGAGACAGCTGCTGGAAAGAATGTTCCAGAAGTGAACTGTTGAAATATGCCAATAAAAACAATAAAAAGCAAATCGATTCATTCAGATTAGGCCAGTATAATTTTGAAGTCTTATTATTTCTAAGTCCTACACCTTGGGTTTTCACCTGTGAAGAAAAACAGACTGCATAACTGTACATAACTGGCATGACAGATCTACCCAATCATGAATTTTTAAGGGAAAAGTTTTAATATGAGAACTGGTAAATGCCAGAAATTCTTTGAAATGAATCATACATAGTACTGTTGGTATAGCCAGTTTTTACATGAAGACCATCATGCTTCTTTTTCAGGGACCTGTGACAACTCTCAGAAAAACGACTGCCGTCCACCCAATGGCCAGGCCGGAGACTGCCCAGACACCGCAGGCCAGTGGCAGGTCCCAGGTACACCCTGTATAACCCCTACAACCCAGCCAACCTTTACAGCACCCAGGACCACCCCACAAACACCACACTCAACAACGGCGCCCATTTGCAGACCCGCCATCTGTGATCTCCTAACCTCTGGGTGAGGGCAACCACAAAAATATTCAACAACCTCATTCTCCTGAAAACAATGTCTCATGTATTTTCAACAAAAAGTAAATTAATTAATTAAAAAACATGGAAAAACATATAATTCAGTTGAAAATGCTGGTTAAAAATAACCTTTTGTGTTCCTTGAATGTCCCCTCTAGTGTATTTGCTCCGTGCCATGAAGTCATACCCCCTGGACCATTTGTGACATCCTGTTCTTCTGACATTTGTAATGGCCTCAATAACACCTGCTCCAGCCTGGAGGCCTATGCTACTCAGTGCTCTAACGCAGGAATTTGTATAGACTGGAGGACCTCTACCGATGGGCAGTGTGGTAAGATAGATAGTCAGTAGTGTACAGCTGTTACACTTGTTGCAATGAGTTATGAAAAATGTGCATATAAACATGTCTCCATGTCACAGAACGCCAGTGTCCAAGCAACAAAGTGTTCATGGCTTGTGGACCCAGTGTAGAGCCTACATGCAATAGCAGGTAAAGTACATGTCAGTAGTATGATGTTTTTGTTTGTTTGTTGAGTTTTTTTATGTAATTCAACATGCACACACTGTTTACATGATTCATATGCTCACAATTAGGTTGTTATGGAATCATCGAATTTTGAATCTTGTATTGTAGGTTGTTTTGGTCCCTGTTAGTGTGTGAGATTGGAAATATATTCGTAAGATAGATTAATTATCTGTTTGGGTGTAACTGAAAAATTCTTCATGATTAGCAACATTTCCACTCTCAGAGCTTTATTCAATGATAGTCTTTCAAAACATTTCAAGTCCTCCCACCACTGTAATAACCAGCAAATCCATTTCTGATGTCAGATACAACGAGAAGTTCCAGACAAGTAACAAGACATCTACAAACTCCACTAAGGAGGGCTGCTTCTGTCCTTCTGGCACCACCTTATTTAACACAGTCTATGACACATGTGTTACGTCCTGCGGTAAGAGGACATCCTACAGAAAACTTGTCTTGACTGGGTCAGTGAATATTTCTCATACTGTCTGTCACACCAAGAAATTTACAATAGGAGGATCTTGTTTTTATTTGAATTTCAGATTGTGTTGGACCTGATGGACAACCCAAAGAGGTGAGAACTATACCAAAAACATACATTTATGTACACTAGTAAAGCATGAGCTGTGTGTCTAAATGGGTTCCTTTCTCTTTACCAGCCTGGTGACACATGGACAAGTGAATGCAACACCTGTGTGTGTGACAAGGATTCCATGAGCATCCAATGTGAGCCTATTCAGTGCCCATCGGTAGAGAGTCCTGACTGCAGCTTGCCTGGCCAGCAGCTGGTCAACAACACAGACGGCTGCTGCTCAACACCTGCATGTGGTCAGTAGTAGTGTCACAGATCTAGATGTCATTCAGTGACAGTTGGTGACAATAAAATCTGCCTCTGATGAAGGATCCCAAAGGATTTTTATCATGGGATTGGTTTAGAATTTTTATTCTTATACTCAGTCTCCACCTGATATTAACATCTGCATATATTACTTGAGAATATATTATATGTTAACCACAGGTTAATGTAGATTAAAGAGCACACGCGCTGAATGCCAGACTCAATCTGGAGGTGTCATCATCTGAGCCAGGTTCTAGTAAATTGCTCAGCGTCTTGGGAAATATAGCTATTTTCTCTTTCTGCATGGATTAATATAGCGTGTTAGATTAATACAGGGCGTTCATTAGCGAGCTTTAGGTGTATGATAGATGTACTGTTTAACTTTGGACAGATTTCCCCTGCTTCCTGTCTTTGTGCTAAGCTAGGGTAACTGTTCCCTGACAAATCTTTAACACTGAACTGGCTATACTGAATCATTACTGTCACCAACTGAATTAGCAGCTGTTTGCACTCAAGCACCCCTCAGTGTCGTCAGTTCAACTGTGACATACAGTACACCACAGTATTAGGAGAAAGTCATTCCCTGTTGATGTACATAGTACAAGTACATTTAAACTGTGCTGTCACTGTATAAATTAGCAAAGATTTGTGAACTACATGGGGAGCGTGGCTGTCTCTCCCTCCAAAACTGTTGTTATTGCAGTAAAAGTTAAATTAAGCAAATCTGTACATTCACATACTTTTGTCTCCAACAGAATGCAATGTAAACCTGTGCCCCCCACCTATCACCTGCCCGCTGGGCTTTGGGCTCAGCGCTACCAGTGGCACTTGCTGCCAGTCCTACGAGTGCGGTATGTGACTCTAGTCTATCAACATAGCACTATATTCTGGTGTACATTTAAAGTACAGTAAGCTTAAATGAGGTTTGTTGTTAAAGAACCTAAATAAATTAGAAACAACAATGAAATATACTGGTGTTTACTTTCTCCTCCACAGTTCCTAAAGGTGTGTGCGTCTATAATATGGCTGAGTACCAGGTAAGCACACAGTTCAAACCTGAGACAACAATCTGTCAAGCTTCAGGTACAACACTAATTAGGATCCAAATATAGACACAGAGAGGCGGAGCATGTAGAAGGTACCTTACTACTAGAATAAAATGAATGACCATTATTCTAGGAAACGTAATGCCTGTGCAGACAGCAGTGATAACAAATCCAACGAGGTAAGTTGAGAGGTAGAGCCTCCACAGATCGTGTTGGTTCCAGCAAATTCTCCAATACCCTGTTGCTAGTTAACAGTTTGTCCCTCTTTGCACCACTGTCATTAGGCGCTAAACACCCCATAAAGGTTAGTGCTTCTGAAATTCTCCAACACAGTCATCTGGGCACAACTATTTGGCCCTTGTCTGAGTTGCTGAAGTCTGTGGCTCAGGAGGTAGAGCAGGTAACTGGAAGGTTAGTGGTTTGTCCAGTCCGTATGTCAACGTGTCCCTGAGCAAGACACTGAACCCCCAGTTGCTCCCGGTGATGACACCAGTGTATGAATGTGTGAGTTCTTGGGAGTGTGAATGGCCAAATAGTGTGAAAGTGCTTGGACTGTGCTGCAATGCACTAGACATTGTACAAGTATAAGACCATTGCACATCTGCCCTTTCTGCTGCCGCCAACAAACTATGACTGAATATACTGTTTACCATGTGCTGTGGTTACTAGATAATTAGCATTATTCATTTCATCTGTTAGTGGTCATAATGCATTACTTCATTGGTGTACTGTGGGGCTAAATATGGGAGACTGAAAGGCAGAGCAGGTATCACCGTGACAGTACTGGAGCCCCACTGCAGGTCTGAGCATACAGGAACTATTAACATTCAACAAAGCTCTGACACTGAGCTTTCAAACAACATAGTGAGTGATGTCTTCTACTGGTTTGACTCATGGTGAGAATGTCTTCATTCCCACTGAGATAATACCTTAGATGTCCACTCCTCACAAAAGCTAGGCTGAGCTCACGTGAACTCCACTGCTTGTTAAAGCACATCAAAGGGGAAGGGGGATACTTGCTCCCTTTCTTATTTACATACAGTTGTAAGTGTGAAGCCATATGGATCATTCATTCACTGGGCAGGCAGAAATAGGTCAGGTATGACCGTTGCTTTCAAATACATCCTAAATATATTGGTTAGCACACAGGCAAAACACATCTCGAGGTTTGAACCCCTTTTCACTTCCTGATCTCGCTGAGAAATGTGCATCTATGTTTCCTTGGTTACAATTAACAGTTATAACTTAATAGCTGCCCGCGATCAACACAATAAAGTGCAACAAGTAAAGAGGTCTGAATACTTTCTGAAATCATTGTACTTTCTATATCAAAGCCATGTTGTTATGTTTTACATTCATACCACAAACAATTGGATGGACGTGGATCTGGCTCTATTTGTTTGACATTCTTCACACCACAGTTACTCTGCACTGCAGTAGGTAGTGCAACTTGGTCAAAGTATATTAGTGTTAGAACGTTCCAGTGTTCATTTGTCAGCAAAAACTATAATGAAATATATTTGCTTACAACCTATTGATGAGACTAAAACTAAACTAAAAAGTAACATTTGATAATGACAACTATGAGCAAATGTTTTCCATTTATCATCAGCAAATAAAAAGTAAATGATAATGTTGAAGACAGAGGAATGGACATGATGTAACTTAACCTGCTGCATCTATGGAACCACAAACTGGAGCTCCTGATCAGTAAACCTGCTTCCTCCACCAGCCAAAATCTCTCTTGTTGTTCAGGAGCTGAATTAGGTGCTCAGTGTGTTTCTGTATTGTTGAGAAGAAACCGTCTTACATTCAGTAAAGTTCTGTCTCTGTCACCTGCGGTTAGCAGTAGAAAAAACTGTTTTATAAACAAAATTCCTGTACAATCCAGAGAATAGCACACAGATACACAAACAGCTTGGACAAACTGGGAACATGCAGCAGCGCACCATATGAAATCATAATTTACCATGAAACGCTGCGGACGCAGGACTAAATGCAATGGATAGTTCATGAGTCAGTTCCAGGATTAATGTAGCAGTCAACCATAAATATTTTCCGAAGGTTCGCTGCAGTGTTTTAATGTTACCCGATGATTTGGCTTCACTTCTCAACCCAGTGCAGAGGAATAATTTCTTATGCTAAAATTATTTGATTTTTTTTCTTAACATAGCTGACTCTGTTACATTTCCACATATGGATATCTGTTTGGCTCCATGTGTGGGCAAGTTTCAGCTACAAAAATACTATTAAAGAGAAAAAAGACCTTGAGACAGCTGCTGGAAAGAATGTTCCAGAAGTGAACTGTTGAAATATGCCAATAAAAACAATAAAAAGCAAATCGATTCATTCAGATTAGGCCAGTATAATTTTGAAGTCTTATTATTTCTAAGTCCTACACCTTGGGTTTTCACCTGTGAAGAAAAACAGACTGCATAACTGTACATAACTGGCATGACAGATCTACCCAATCATGAATTTTTAAGGGAAAAGTTTTAATATGAGAACTGGTAAATGCCAGAAATTCTTTGAAATGAATCATACATAGTACTGTTGGTATAGCCAGTTTTTACATGAAGACCATCATGCTTCTTTTTCAGGGACCTGTGACAACTCTCAGAAAAACGACTGCCGTCCACCCAATGGCCAGGCCGGAGACTGCCCAGACACCGCAGGCCAGTGGCAGGTCCCAGGTACACCCTGTATAACCCCTACAACCCAGCCAACCACTACAGCACCCAGGACCACCCCACAAACACCACACTCAACAACGGCGCCCATTTGCAGACCCGCCATCTGTGATCTCCTAACCTCTGGGTGAGGGCAACCACAAAAATATTCAACAACCTCATTCTCCTGAAAACAATGTCTCATGTATTTTCAACAAAAAGTAAATTAATTAATTAAAAAACATGGAAAAACATATAATTCAGTTGAAAATGCTGGTTAAAAATAACCTTTTGTGTTCCTTGAATGTCCCCTCTAGTGTATTTGCTCCGTGCCATGAAGTCATACCCCCTGGACCATTTGTGACATCCTGTTCTTCTGACATTTGTAATGGCCTCAATAACACCTGCTCCAGCCTGGAGGCCTATGCTACTCAGTGCTCTAACGCAGGAATTTGTATAGACTGGAGGACCTCTACCGATGGGCAGTGTGGTAAGATAGATAGTCAGTAGTGTACAGCTGTTACACTTGTTGCAATGAGTTATGAAAAATGTGCATATAAACATGTCTCCATGTCACAGAACGCCAGTGTCCAAGCAACAAAGTGTTCATGGCTTGTGGACCCAGTGTAGAGCCTACATGCAATAGCAGGTAAAGTACATGTCAGTAGTATGATGTTTTTGTTTGTTTGTTGAGTTTTTTTATGTAATTCAACATGCACACACTGTTTACATGATTCATATGCTCACAATTAGGTTGTTATGGAATCATCGAATTTTGAATCTTGTATTGTAGGTTGTTTTGGTCCCTGTTAGTGTGTGAGATTGGAAATATATTCGTAAGATAGATTAATTATCTGTTTGGGTGTAACTGAAAAATTCTTCATGATTAGCAACATTTCCACTCTCAGAGCTTTATTCAATGATAGTCTTTCAAAACATTTCAAGTCCTCCCACCACTGTAATAACCAGCAAATCCATTTCTGATGTCAGATACAACGAGAAGTTCCAGACAAGTAACAAGACATCTACAAACTCCACTAAGGAGGGCTGCTTCTGTCCTTCTGGCACCACCTTATTTAACACAGTCTATGACACATGTGTTACGTCCTGCGGTAAGAGGACATCCTACAGAAAACTTGTCTTGACTGGGTCAGTGAATATTTCTCATACTGTCTGTCACACCAAGAAATTTACAATAGGAGGATCTTGTTTTTATTTGAATTTCAGATTGTGTTGGACCTGATGGACAACCCAAAGAGGTGAGAACTATACCAAAAACATACATTTATGTACACTAGTAAAGCATGAGCTGTGTGTCTAAATGGGTTCCTTTCTCTTTACCAGCCTGGTGACACATGGACAAGTGAATGCAACACCTGTGTGTGTGACAAGGATTCCATGAGCATCCAATGTGAGCCTATTCAGTGCCCATCGGTAGAGAGTCCTGACTGCAGCTTGCCTGGCCAGCAGCTGGTCAACAACACAGACGGCTGCTGCTCAACACCTGCATGTGGTCAGTTGTAGTGTCACAGATCTAGATGTCATTGACAATAAAATCTGCCTCTGATGAAGGATCCCAAAGGATTTTTATCATGGGATTGGTTTAGAATTTTTATTCTTATACTCAGTCTCCACCTGATATTAACATCTGCATATATTACTTGAGAATATATTATATGTTAACCACAGGTTAATGTAGATTAAAGAGCACACGCGCTGAATGCCAGACTCAATCTGGAGGTGTCATCATCTGAGCCAGGTTCTAGTAAATTGCTCAGCGTCTTGGGAAATATAGCTATTTTCTCTTTCTGCATGGATTAATATAGCGTGTTAGATTAATACAGGGCGTTCATTAGCGAGCTTTAGGTGTATGATAGATGTACTGTTTAACTTTGGACAGATTTCCCCTGCTTCCTGTCTTTGTGCTAAGCTAGGGTAACTGTTCCCTGACAAATCTTTAACACTGAACTGGCTATACTGAATCATTACTGTCACCAACTGAATTAGCAGCTGTTTGCACTCAAGCACCCCTCAGTGTCGTCAGTTCAACTGTGACATACAGTACACCACAGTATTAGGAGAAAGTCATTCCCTGTTGATGTACATAGTACAAGTACATTTAAACTGTGCTGTCACTGTATAAATTAGCAAAGATTTGTGAACTACATGGGGAGCGTGGCTGTCTCTCCCTCCAAAACTGTTGTTATTGCAGTAAAAGTTAAATTAAGCAAATCTGTACATTCACATACTTTTGTCTCCAACAGAATGCAATGTAAACCTGTGCCCCCCACCTATCACCTGCCCGCTGGGCTTTGGGCTCAGCGCTACCAGTGGCACTTGCTGCCAGTCCTACGAGTGCGGTATGTGACTCTAGTCTATCAACATAGCACTATATTCTGGTGTACATTTAAAGTACAGTAAGCTTAAATGAGGTTTGTTGTTAAAGAACCTAAATAAATTAGAAACAACAATGAAATATACTGGTGTTTACTTTCTCCTCCACAGTTCCTAAAGGTGTGTGCGTCTATAATATGGCTGAGTACCAGGTAAGCACACAGTTCAAACCTGAGACAACAATCTGTCAAGCTTCAGGTACAACACTAATTAGGATCCAAATATAGACACAGAGAGGCGGAGCATGTAGAAGGTACCTTACTACTAGAATAAAATGAATGACCATTATTCTAGGAAACGTAATGCCTGTGCAGACAGCAGTGATAACAAATCCAACGAGGTAAGTTGAGAGGTAGAGCCTCCACAGATCGTGTTGGTTCCAGCAAATTCTCCAATACCCTGTTGCTAGTTAACAGTTTGTCCCTCTTTGCACCACTGTCATTAGGCGCTAAACACCCCATAAAGGTTAGTGCTTCTGAAATTCTCCAACACAGTCATCTGGGCACAACTATTTGGCCCTTGTCTGAGTTGCTGAAGTCTGTGGCTCAGGAGGTAGAGCAGGTAACTGGAAGGTTAGTGGTTTGTCCAGTCCGTATGTCAACGTGTCCCTGAGCAAGACACTGAACCCCCAGTTGCTCCCGGTGATGACACCAGTGTATGAATGTGTGAGTTCTTGGGAGTGTGAATGGCCAAATAGTGTGAAAGTGCTTGGACTGTGCTGCAATGCACTAGACATTGTACAAGTATAAGACCATTGCACATCTGCCCTTTCTGCTGCCGCCAACAAACTATGACTGAATATACTGTTTACCATGTGCTGTGGTTACTAGATAATTAGCATTATTCATTTCATCTGTTAGTGGTCATAATGCATTACTTCATTGGTGTACTGTGGGGCTAAATATGGGAGACTGAAAGGCAGAGCAGGTATCACCGTGACAGTACTGGAGCCCCACTGCAGGTCTGAGCATACAGGAACTATTAACATTCAACAAAGCTCTGACACTGAGCTTTCAAACAACATAGTGAGTGATGTCTTCTACTGGTTTGACTCATGGTGAGAATGTCTTCATTCCCACTGAGATAATACCTTAGATGTCCACTCCTCACAAAAGCTAGGCTGAGCTCACGTGAACTCCACTGCTTGTTAAAGCACATCAAAGGGGAAGGGGGATACTTGCTCCCTTTCTTATTTACATACAGTTGTAAGTGTGAAGCCATATGGATCATTCATTCACTGGGCAGGCAGAAATAGGTCAGGTATGACCGTTGCTTTCAAATACATCCTAAATATATTGGTTAGCACACAGGCAAAACACATCTCGAGGTTTGAACCCCTTTTCACTTCCTGATCTCGCTGAGAAATGTGCATCTATGTTTCCTTGGTTACAATTAACAGTTATAACTTAATAGCTGCCCGCGATCAACACAATAAAGTGCAACAAGTAAAGAGGTCTGAATACTTTCTGAAATCATTGTACTTTCTATATCAAAGCCATGTTGTTATGTTTTACATTCATACCACAAACAATTGGATGGACGTGGATCTGGCTCTATTTGTTTGACATTCTTCACACCACAGTTACTCTGCACTGCAGTAGGTAGTGCAACTTGGTCAAAGTATATTAGTGTTAGAACGTTCCAGTGTTCATTTGTCAGCAAAAACTATAATGAAATATATTTGCTTACAACCTATTGATGAGACTAAAACTAAACTAAAAAGTAACATTTGATAATGACAACTATGAGCAAATGTTTTCCATTTATCATCAGCAAATAAAAAGTAAATGATAATGTTGAAGACAGAGGAATGGACATGATGTAACTTAACCTGCTGCATCTATGGAACCACAAACTGGAGCTCCTGATCAGTAAACCTGCTTCCTCCACCAGCCAAAATCTCTCTTGTTGTTCAGGAGCTGAATTAGGTGCTCAGTGTGTTTCTGTATTGTTGAGAAGAAACCGTCTTACATTCAGTAAAGTTCTGTCTCTGTCACCTGCGGTTAGCAGTAGAAAAAACTGTTTTATAAACAAAATTCCTGTACAATCCAGAGAATAGCACACAGATACACAAACAGCTTGGACAAACTGGGAACATGCAGCAGCGCACCATATGAAATCATAATTTACCATGAAACGCTGCGGACGCAGGACTAAATGCAATGGATAGTTCATGAGTCAGTTCCAGGATTAATGTAGCAGTCAACCATAAATATTTTCCGAAGGTTCGCTGCAGTGTTTTAATGTTACCCGATGATTTGGCTTCACTTCTCAACCCAGTGCAGAGGATTTTCATACAAATAAGAGCGGATCCTACATTGGCAGAGCAGAGCAACACTGTGTGAAGAAATAAACACAGTTTTCCCCAAATGTCACGCTAGACAGGAACAACACCCATGGCAACTGCACACAACAAAGATAAAGAAAATATACAACAAATATTAAAAATGCAGGATAAAATTACTTTGTTTTTATTAACAGAAACTAGACTAACAAAAAATCAGAAGACTAAAATTTGACTAAAGCTAATATGCATTTTTGTCAAAAGACTAAAAGAAAAACAAAATGAAATTAAGGTGTCAAAGTTAACACTGCTTCAAAGTTCGGTTTTGTTAGTTTGTGTTGGTGCAACAGTTCTCATTTACTGTAAACTCTAGCCTTGGTCTAAACAACTGATTCAGTAAAATGTGGTTTAGCTGTGATCTGTCACTTCATATGGCTTCTCTTGGTTGTTGCTTTAATGTGAAACACACACAAACTAAAAGGCAACAACTGATCTTTTTCCCATCACTTCAGGACAAATTAACTGACATACCTGTGTGAAAGTTTCCTGAATTGATGTTTGAGAGAGTATTGATCAATGTGTATTTTATAGCCTGGAGCCACGATACTAACATCACATACACCACCGGAATCACCATTAGAGGAACCAGGAACAACAGCCGCACCATCAAAATCAGAAGCAACAACACCGGAACCAACATCAAACGAGCCCTTTAAACCTGGGCCCTGCCAGGACTGTTCCTGTGGCCCCCAAATGGATCCCAACACCAAGTTGAACATCATTGACTGCAAACCTGTTGTCTGCAACAAAAACTGCACCGATGTAAGTTCTTTCACAGGTTATGCCAAGACACAGCAACACACACATGCACACTCACTATTCTTACACCCAAGCATCACTCCCACGGGAACAGACCTGGAGGGTTACAGTCACACTCAGTGGCCACTTACTTTATTTGCTTCCCTCGTGCAAGCTAATATATGTAGTAGTTATAGTTGTTGTACTGGAGTGCACATTACCAGACACAGGAGTGCAAATGTGATGGACAAAAGATGAGAAGTACATCTCGGTATGATGCAGTCTAACACAACAGCACCACAATCTATGACCTCATAATACACAACTAATTAATTACCACTTACATTAGATTGTACAAGTGGAACAAACAGAATGACCAGCAGCTATATTAGATATTATATATTAGCAGCTATGATATGATCTCTCTTGCTAGTTCCTGTCAGTACTCTGGCTGCAGAATTTTGGATTAACTGGAGGCTTTTTAGGGAATTATTGGGACATCCTGATAGTAAAGAGTTACAGTAGTCCAGCCTGGGCATGGACCAGTTTTGCATGGACCCAAAAGAATGACTTTTTTCTTTTCTCTCCCACTCTCTCCTTCTGTCTTCAGGGTTATGAATATCAGACTGATCCTGACAAGTGCTGCGGAACCTGTGTTCAGAAGAGCTGTGTTGTCACCACACCTGACAGTACAACACATATCATTGAGGTCAGTACTTCAGCTGTGTTACCTCACATTTTTGCCAAGATCTTAGTTGTAGCAGCTGTGTTCTTTTTAACAATCAACTATTTAGATACATGTTAGTGGAAAAAGATGAAAATCTATTTAATTTAAAGCTAAAATAAGACCAACCTTATTTCAGAGCAAACTTAAAAGGGAAAAAAACATCTTTACAAATTTGACTACACGTGCCACAGCATATAGGAAAAATGCTGCAAAGTGAGAAAACAACTAAATACAGAACTAGGCAGCACTTACAGAAAACCTATTGAAATGAGTTGCAACCAAAATACAACCAAATTCACAAACACTGCATGGTTAACAGCGGGTATCTACAATAGCTGAATCACACAATAAGAGTGTTTAAAGACACACACACACACACACACACACACACACACACAAAACATATTAGCTCATTTTCAACACCATTGATGAAGAGAAAACTTCAGTAACTTCGCCATTCACCATAGCAACAAGGATGTGCCAGCCATGTTCACATTTAGCATCCCCACAAACAATGTGTTTTTTGTTCTACTTGTGTTCCTGTAGTTAGTTGTGTTTTCAGTATTTGGTTGTATTTTCGGTTTTTGCATTTGGTTATGCTTTCCGACTGCAGAATTTTTCTGAATGATGCACGCCTGTGTTCTCATGTTAGGGAAGATGTTTTCTTAGTTTCTTTTTGTGTGTTTTTCTGTGTATTTGCATGTTTTCTGAAGCTGCGGTACTTTGAGTTCTAAGGCCACCATACAGAACCTATTTAAATCTCCATTACATTTGTTGTTACTCCTTGTCTGTTCCAAATAGATAGTGGCATTTAGGCCAAATTGTGTTTGCGTATAAGCCAAAAAGGATTAAAAAATCTGTTGAAAACTGACAGCTTCTGCCCTTCCTGTTGCCACAGGTCAACAGCACTTTTGTACCCACTAATGACAACTGTCTGGAGTATAGCTGCGAGATTATCAATGGACAGCTTTCTACCAAAGAGACCAGGACCACGTGTCCTCCCTTTAACCCCTCGGACTGTGTACCTGTGAGTTTATGATACTCTACATACAGTATAATACCTCTACCCCTCTCCACTACCTCACTGATACATGTCTAACACATAACATGGTGTGTGTGTTCCTCCTTCAGGGCACTATAACAACTGATGCTAATGGATGCTGCAAAACCTGTAAGTTAGTGGAGCTATAGCAGTTAAATAATAGCTACTAAATCAGAAGGGGTAGATAAAAAAAAGAGGACAAAGCTGTGCATGATGTGTTTTCTTTAGAGCCTAAAATGTTGCTGTGTGTCCCAGGTAAGATACAGAGTGTCTGTGAACTCCAGAGTGAGCAGTCAGTCATCGAGGTGAACGGCTGTAAGAGCGCACAGCCAGTCAAACTTACATCCTGTGCTGGGCACTGTGGAAGCTCATCCATGTAAGTCAATTTAGCACCACTTCCGAAGTTCATGTAGTTTGTCACCATAATTTGATGTTTTTAGAGAGTGACTTTTCTCAATCTGTGTGAAAAACTACATCACTGCATGCAGCCTGCTACAGTCATGAGGCACTGCACCCAGTTTAATACAGAATATTCAGTACTGGTGTTGCCTGTCAGAAGGCCCAGTACACAGCCTGACACCAAATGCAGGGGCTGTTGGGGGGCTCAAAACATTGGAATATTCAACCAATACTGCATACTGATAACTGTCTTACAGATATGGGAATGGTGCCATTCTATGCTCTTAGTAATAAGCACCAATATAAACTACATAGGATCTTCAAACTGGCTTGTCCCCCCCGAGTCACATGAGCTATTTTAATCAGTGCAGAGAATCAGAACTGCTGTTTGTGTGTGCATGGAGGTATTCTGCAGCAACTAACAAGATGATGCCCCAGTGTGAGTGTTGCAAAGAGGCCACCACCAGTGACCGGCAGGTAGAGCTGATCTGCGCTGATGGCTCCAAGCTCATGCACTCCATCATCGTAGTGGAGACATGCAGCTGCAACAAAGTAGAGTGTACTGCATGGACAACATCCAAACCATAGGACAACGCAAAACGATGACCAGCCGCTCACCGTTCTACACCGGACTGTAACCTTAAAAAACACTAAGCAAGACTTAACCTCAGTCTTATTTTTCTCTGGGTTTATTTTCTAAAACCCAAATTGTGCTCCTTTTCATTGTCACAACATGTTACTGTGATGTAAACTCGCTTCATCTTGGGATTTCTGGTGACTATTATTAAAATTATATTTCTGCAACATGACCACTTGCATTACTGTTCTTATTCATCACTTGGAAACAATGAATATTAACAAAGAACCCAAAACTTAACTACACTGTGTATTCTAAGCAAATGGTAATGCAGTTTGCTTGTTTCACAAATGTTTTGATGACTGCCATTTTAAGGTTTAGCTAATAATGGTGTCTGGAAGCTCTTGTTGTCTAGTTGATGGCACCATGGGTCACACAACACCATATGTTCAAAAGCTCATTAGCAAATATGAACATACACAATTTCACTGTTTAGCGCCAACAAATCTAATATCTTCTAAAGTGCTAAGACCTACAGATCATTTTGGCAATGAACTGAAAATAATCCCATGGCACAAAATAAAATGAATCAAAGTAGTGATATCACTGGAATCAGTGAAAAGCCACTAGGAGACAACTAATTTTAAACAAAACCTATGGCAGACAGCACATCAACAACAAAATCTTGTAAATTACAAGTGTCAATAGAAAGCTATACAAACTACATCACATATAAACACTGTGGATGGTGTCAGAAGTCATCCAGTACAGACGGCTATGAGTTCTGTACCGGGCATTCAGGTCACTGTCATCTTAGGTTTAAAAAAAAAATAATAATAATAATAATTCTAAAAACACCTATTGGATATTTAGCTCATTAAAGTAGACTGAAATTCTTTGTAGGCAACATCTTGATTTTATCAAGAAAGTGACATTTTCATTCACACTGCATCTTTATCAAAACGTTGTGTGACTCTACAGGATATCATTTTAAACATCAAGTCTCCACATCCTTACTTCACTGACAAATAATGGGTTACAACAAAGAAATTTATTTACACATTTAATATACCCACAGTAGTTTATAAGATTTAGAATCCACCAGCGTACATGTGAAACAGAAGTAGTTCACTGCAGGCTTCTACAAAGAGGCTTTAGACAAAGTCGTAACACCATCGACATAGACAGAAGATGGACTCTGAGCATGAATATTTACAGCTCAAACAGAACAAATCAAACACTGGGGGAATACAGATGGTGCTACCATGGATACAGTGAAAAATTGTAACACTGAAACCATCAAGAAACACAATGATTTGGGCTGGAATGATTGACAATACCCATCAAGTAACACTACTATCAATCCAATGTTTAGTTTGAGTCTCTACCATGATACACAACTTTATGATCTGTCCTGACTTAAAAGAATTTTCTAAATACATACAGTGCCAGTTGTGACAGAGAGCTCTCATTAGCAGAGAGTCAAAGGCTTCGTGTACCGTTAGGCAAAAAGTTGTCAATAAAGGGGGAGACACCTGACATCACCAGCTGGTGGAGCCCAGAAATGGGTAAGCTATCAGCCACACTGTTGAAGGGCTGTAGGTGTGTGTGTGTGTGTGTGTGTGCGCACATGCATGCACGTACATTTCTTTCTATGGTTGTACTTAGACTCATCATTGTGAGGACAGTCTGGCCAGTCCTCAACTTCAAAGACCTGTCTGAGGGTCAGCAGTTGGCATTAGTATCAAGGTTAGGATGAGGTTTAGATTAGGTAAAGGTCGGGCATTTGTCTGTGATGGTTCAGGTATGGGTAAAGTGCTAGGAAATGCATCATCTTACCGAGTGTTCTCACAACTATAAAAAGACAATGTGCATGCGTGCGCATGTATACAAAGGGTAGGAATATAAATATGCTTGCATGTTTATTTGTATATAGCATGTCCACTGAGCTTGTATTCTGCAGTTAGAGCTCCTCGGCCACCTGCAGCAGAGAGTTGATGGCAGCATCCTTGTTGCCCTGCTGTGCATCCAGCACAGTGCGAACCACCTCCTTATCCAGGTTGGGGAACATGTCCTGCAGAGCCTTCAGGTCCTCCTCGCTGCACACCGGCCCCTGGCTCCCAACACCTGGCATGGCTGCTGGCACTGCCATGGGGACCATGCCTTGGTTGTATACTGCTGGGACTCCTAGTGGCACAGGACACACACCACTGTAAGAGGCAGCTTTAATGTAACAGACACAGATTTAGAACAAAGTATGAAAAAACATCGGTGTGGAATGGTTCATAAAATTCATGGCTCGGTTCATATCACAGTGTTAGGGTCATGGTTTTCGGTTCGGTTTGACATGTTCTTGGCAAAGTGGAGAGGGGGCCGATTTCAATTTGCTTTTTATTTATTTGGCAGAAAGAGTTAAATGCCTTCCTTAAAATCCTTGCCAAGAGCATAAGGAACATAAACATACCGTGTAGCATAATCCCAATGCACGCTGTGCACTGTTTGCTCTATTTTCATGTTCCTCTGCAAGATGCTGAGTTTGTTCACATTCTGGGGAACATGACCAGTGACAGGGCAGTAACAATGTACCATAGTGCAGAGGAAACTCTCTCACTCGGTACCGATGCACCTGGATCAGTGGTAACATTGTTCTATCCACCACAAGACGGGTTTTTTACAACATGAGAGGCGTGTCGTATTTTTAAGGTTCCAGTCTATTGTTTATCCTCTGGCACGTTTAGAGAAGGTAGTCTCCAAAGACAGGTGTTTAAACCACTCAAATCCATAAGTTATTTTCTGTTGCCAACTTTTTACTGGTTCCACCTTCCCCCACTCTCTATAGCAAGCTGAGAAACATCATTACATTTAATAAATTTGTTCATAAAAATGTGGAATGCTTCCTGATGAGCATACATGAAACTACATTTAAATTAGGGGAGGCTAAATCACACAGAGTTGATGAACAAATTATTCAAGCTGAAAACCTTTACTAATGTACATTGTATAATTTCTTTCAGAATAAAATGACATTATTTTGGTTTCCATTGACCGCTAATCAATGCATTGTTTGAAGGCCATGATATGCTAACCCCTGGACAATAGGAATAAAGCTTACCTCTCACACTAAGGCGACATATTTGAAACATATTAAAGCTCCAAACACTGCTTGAGGTTGTATGACGGAGATATTCACTGACTACCAAGAACCCTGCAGACCTCCCTGTTTCATGCTATTAATCCAGGCTAAGACCCCAAACCTCCCAAATAATAGCAACCTGCAGTTTATTGTGGCAGCTACCCCCTTAACCCTCAGATGTTGCCGTACTGAGAAACTTTTATAAGCCAAGGTACTCTGGCTCTTTGAGGAAGTGTTAAATTTAGTCTGAAATAACCAATGAAAGCTGTGTCACTGGACACTTAAGACCATATCTATTTTGCACAGTATTTAGTTGACATAAGATTTTATTAAGGATAGGATATTTAAAGAATAGTGTATATTGTGTAACAAGTAAATAACTGGGTGTTTTAGATAAAATCCTGTTCTAATATAACTTTCTAAACACCACCTCCCTTCGGACAGCCAGCCAGCTTGTACGGCATAACACCCAAGCAACAACCCCAATCAGAAAAGTGCTGCTTGTGTTGTCACCATGAGGTATCCGCAGCCAGGCAGCTTGTTAACACCGCTGGGTTGCCACTGCCTGTTTTGACTTTCTGAGACACTGTTCAGAAGGTTGGCATACTACTAATACTATGAATTGTAAACTCTTTTCTGATGTACCTGTCTAAAAATCATTTTAGCAGTTCAATCTGGGCCTTCTGTCAACCCTGTGAACTCTTATGCAACCTCACACACTCACTCAGACTTGAGTAATCACACTCACTGGGAATTGGGTAACCAAACACTGAGAAATGTGTGTCTTAAACCTTACCACTTAAAAGTGTTAACTCACCAAAATCATAGGACTGTCAATAACATCGAACTTGACTCAATAACCACAGAGAGTATTAAACCTTTTCAGGAATTTTATATAGAAGCTTAACAGAGCGACAGCAAAGCAACAAGCAATAAAATATAAACCTTAAAATCATCAATAATCGGCTTCCTATCTAAATAAATTAACTACTAATTCTAAACAAATCTAAAATGATCATACTGATTAAAATCATCATGGTTGAGTTAGGCTCTTGATCTGAATAAAAGTCAAAGGTCTCACGTCACTGATCCTCAGCTGGCTCTGGGCGGGTGGTGGCTGATTGGGGCAATCACTTGTTCCTCTTTTTCCTTTTTGCCATGATTCAAGCTTTCACAAGGGAAAAGAATTTACAAAC